TGTGAGGCTGAGTCTCGCTGCAGCGCTGTCCATGGTGCTGAATCAGCTGGAGGGTCTTCCGCCTCTTTTTATCTCCCTAACTTCCTCTCTTACATTTTCTCTCCTCGTCTGTCTTTATCTCTTTTGCCCTTTCTGTGTCTACTCGATCTCTCTCTCTTAACTTCACAGTCACTTTATTGTTGTGAAACACAGCAAGTCAACAAGGCAATGTCAACACACTCAGCACTGAAATGACAATAGGCAAAACCACAAAGAAAAACGAAAACAAAATGAATATATAAAATGAGATATGAAAATTAGTCAATCAGAAGACATTTGCTTTTGTGTGGATTTAAGAAAAATAGTGATATGGTAATGTATTTACAATGACAATGGCTGCAACTTAAAAAGGCTTCCCTCGGCAGAAAGAAATAACAGCTATGGTAATTTATTCAAATGCCTTAAACATAACATGTTTACTCTTACCTCACAAGGACCTCTTAAAGCCTCTTATGAACCTTTCTGTCTGTCGTTTCCAGGAAACAAAGGCAGACATAGTTATTACATCACCACACAGCCTCTTAGTCCAGTGGTTGAGTGAGACATGCTGTGACATGGGAGACCAGTGTCTGTAACTCTATTATCCAGCCACATTTTTCCTACCCTCAACCTTAACCCTCAACCCTTAATCAAGTGTTTGATGTACCTTAACTGGGTTAGAAATGATTCACATGGGCTGTTTGGCATGGAGTGACAAAGGACCTATTTCAGTAACAAAGACATTTATATAATGTGTTTGTCTGTTTTTTTGATAATTGTAAGTATAGTTATAAAGAAAAATGCACAATTTAAATTCCCAGTAGTCCCAGGTGACATCATCAAATTCCTGATTTTGTCCAATGAACAGTCCAATACCAAGTCCCTTTGTTTTATTTCAGCAAAATACTTCAAGTTAGGAATTATTTTTCGTATGAGGCTCCCAAAACTAGCACATTTTGAGTATCTTTGGGGACACCCAGCTCTACTTACATTACTATGGATAGGAACCATCAGAAACTCTGATCCATTTTTCTTGTTCTGACAAGTAGTTGAAAATGTGCTGCAGCCTGCTTTGAATCTCATCCCATTCTGCTACAAATGCCACCAACGTTGACTTTTATGCATGTTAATTCACAAAAGATTCATCCAAAACATCCCCAACTCCTACTTGTTTCTCAATTTATACATTTATCTTTCTCACATCCACAAGCACGCACATGTATTTATCTGTTCTTAGACTGAATTTTAGGCCATAGGCCAGAGGTGTTTCTTAGATTGAGATTATAGAACATGCGCACATTCAGAGTTTTCATTTGCCTGGCCACTGTCTAATCTCTGCCCACTCTCTAAATCTATTTGTCTTGTAGTTCTTGCCTTCCTCTGATATTGTTTTTATCTCTTTATTATCCCCTGCACTCCCAGCCCAACCACCACAAAACAACCTTGAACTATTTTATGTTATGCCAGCAGTACACCATATCATTTATCCCACCTCTTGCTAATCAGATAATTGTAGAACACTGTGACTTTATAAACCATGAAACCCTGCAGAATATGTACAGTGAACCCATCAATCTGCCTCATGTGCCGGCTGTTTTACCCGTGTCTGATGCTAGCATTCATCACTGCTGCATTTGTATTAATGACCCTCAAACTGAAAGGTATATGTCAAATGTCACATTCATTTTATTGTTTTGCTTGAGTTTGGAGAATCTTCTCATCTCCATCCTCTAGTGGTCATTACAAGTAGGGCTTTTTCAAAGTCATAATTATATGCGTCATATGAAATGTACATGGCTGCAAATTGGTGACAAGCTGACCATCCTTAATGATACAGTGTAGTGCCGAGAGAAGGGAGACGGAGGCGGTGCATCGGAGGTGCAAATCTCACTTTATTGGGGAGCAGAAACTGACATGCTGTCGGGTCGAAGCCGCAGAAGAAAAGAGAAAGTGCAAGAGACACACACACAGTAGGTACCCCGGAGGTACCGTCAAGATATGTGTCCGTGCGAAACAATACCCCCAACCTGTAGTTCCTGGATTGAATTATGTAACCCCAGTGTATGAATCAGTGATCACTACACAAGCCCCCCCAGAATTCAACCATGGACACAATCCTCGCGTCCGGGAGGAAGCACCACAGGGGCCGAGGAGGGCGGGCCATGGAACGGGCCGTCGTCAGGGGTCGCAGGAGAGGGTCGCGTCGTGGGGACAGGCGTGAAACACCCGGAGGTCCCCAGCAGGGAGGAGCGCTGCCCGGCCGCAGGTGAAGGCACAGCGGCGGCGGGCACGAAGTCCTCGGGAGGAAGGAGCCGTGTCCCCGGGAGGAGGGAGATGTGGACAGGGGAGAGGCCAGACGGGGCGCCGTCGAGGCGAACCGTGAGCCGCGGTTAGAGGAGAGGCCAGGCAGGGTCCCGAAGCGCGCCACCCGCGGGCCGATGAAGGCACGGGTGACATTCGAAACCGCCGAGGCGAGACGGGGTCCAGAAGCGCGTCACCCACGGGCCGAAGCAGCCGCGTGTGACGTCCGAAACCGCCGTCGAGGTGGTGATAACGCGAGAGGGTCCACACGAGGCCGACCAGACATGGCCGAACCTCCTCTCAGGCACCAGAAAAAAACTCAAAAATGGTCGTCCCGTCCACGAACAAAAACAGGTGGGCGAAATAGCGAGAGGATCCACGCGAGGCCGACCAGACATGATCGAACCTCCTCTCCGGCACCACAAAAAACAAAAATAAAAATAAAAAAACAGTCGGATGTCAGCCGCTAGCTGCTGTGGCTAGCCGTTGTTAGCTGTTGCCAGCTGTTGCCAGCTGCTAGCCGTTAGCAGTCGTGGCTAGCTGATCTCGGCGGCCATTAGTCGCTGGCCGGACATGCAGCCGCATGTCCCGAACAAACCCGGCGGTTGCGTACCGGCCCCATGGAAGGCTTGCCGTCCCCCAGAGCCGAAAAGCCGTGGAAACGACGAGCGTCGTCCGCGTCCATTCCGTGGGGCGCACCGAGCCACAGTCCGAGCGCACGAGGCAGCTACGGAGGTCTCCAAAAATCCCCGGCATTTAGAGAAAAGCTGCGCTTTTTGCCGTGTTCGATTCAGTCTCGGATCCTTCGCGAGACTTATGTCAGGGTCACCAATGTAGTGCCGAGAGAAGGGAGACGGAGGCGGTGCATCGGAGGTGCAAATCTCACTTTATTGGGGAGCAGAAACTGACATGCTGTCGGGTCGAAGCCGCAGAAGAAAAGAGAAAGTGCAAGAGACACACACACAGTAGGTACCCCGGAGGTACCGTCAAGATATGTGTCCGTGCGAAACAATACCCCCAACCTGTAGTTCCTGGATTGAATTATGTAACCCCATTGTATGAATCAGTGATCACTACAACAGTCAAATTAATCAGCCAGCTAAGAAAGCAAATCAGCATATAACACAAAACGTCGATTGCTTTAAAAGGGAGAAGTATTGGCCAATTTCGCATTTCCTACGCTCTTTACATCTCTACATTCATTTTCACTGGTATACAGTGTGCTTAGGAGATGTTGAGCAACATCAACAACGAATAATCAGGATTTTTTATAAATATTTTGTATATTGTTACAAGAAAAAACTCTCAGTTGGATTCCATTGCATGCAGATAGTATGCCTAAATAGATACACTTGAAAACTACCATTATAATAAATAATACTAAAATCATAAAAGGGAACTACTTTTACCAAGGGTTGCACTTGCATTCCCACGGCCCTCTTGAGGTTCCCGCCCCTCACTGAGAACCTCCGGCCGTGTTGATGTGTGTTGTGTCTCCTGCTAGACCCAAATTATATCAACTTCTTTTCCCAGGCAAACGCCCCGGAGATGGCATCACGCACAGTCGTCATAACGTATCCATCGGTTATTACCAGCTGGTAATACCGGAGCAGCGACTCGTCAATAGGAAAAGCAGGACACGGACACAGACGGAAGGAGACAGACAGCAGAGGGGCTGGTAGGCGTATCGCCTCCCGGGACAAACCGACGCACTGTGTGAAAGTGACTGCAGGAGGGACGTAGAGGCTCACCGGCGGATCACAGTGCTTTGTAACGACCAGGAGGGGAGAAAGGACAGGAATGATTTGATGCTGGTTTCCTAGCGGGATTTATCATATTGTTCCTGACCTATAACGCCTCTATCCATAGGCTTTCATCCACCGGACAGCCTGCACTCTTGTCCGGCGCTTCTCCTTGGATAGACCGACACGAGAAGAACAGATAGATAGGTCAAGACAAAGTCACTTCTGTGGCTGGAGAGGAGGGGACGCCCGTTTACCAAGCCTCTCTGATTCTGCAGTTTATTTTTTAACCAGTTGTTATCTAATTGATCATGTTCTTACCTTGAGACGGATACACAGCAACCAGAAAGGATTACTGTCCTACAGCCAAGTGCAAATATTTTGAGATGGGAATGAGCCAAATGTGTTGGTGCAGGAATGACAGCTGCTGAATGGGGGACCAGAGAGCATCTGTAGGGGAATTTACACCGGCTGAGTAGCCCAAAACGAAGACCGTGCCCGGTTTCACCGTGTAGCCTGAGACGTTTCCTTACTATCCACACTCAGTGCTTTTTCTCTATTCAGGACACACGTTCCCAGCTATATTAACCTCCGACGGCTGTGCGTTTTTCTTCACATCACCGATTAACGGAGTCTTAATGGAAACGCAGAGAGCTCACATGGAGACCAAATGAGTGCGCAACGCGGCTGTGCGCCGGTTTAACGGCGTTTTACCACGCTTACAGTACCGTCCCAGGGGATCAGCGGCTGACACCGGATTGCTGTAGGTTATCAGCTGCCACCGGTCGTGTACCCGCATCGGGCTTTTAAGGCAAACTCCAAAGGAACTAAATTGAAACGCCTCGCGTGCCCCAGCACCTCTCAAGGATCCCTGCAGCGCGACCAGCGTTGCGCGTTATAAAACCAAAATAAAAGTGGATATCATTACTTATTTGGTTCGTAAATTATCTGTCCAGGAGGAGGATGATTTAACATATTATTTGCTCCAGAGCTCTTCACCTGCCTTTACAAGAGAAGGGGAGAACGGAGGAGAAACCGCCTGTACCTAACCGGCGAGGAGGAGAGAGAGGCACGCAGGTATGGCTGTCTCTTTATCTACTTTCTCATCTGTCCGATTATCGCACCATTTCATCCCTCCTCTGCTCCTTCAATCATCACATTATGCTCTTTGTGTCTTGAGACGTTTTTGAGAGATTGATTTGTAATTTTAGAAGGGGTCAAGTTGATTACAGATAGGGAGAGAGAGGGAGAGAGAAAGAGCGAGAGAGAGAGAGGAGGCAGATGGGGAGATAATGGCGCTATGGGTTTCTCTCATACGATTTAGAGATGGTCATATCCTTTCCCTAGATTAAAGACAGTAGGGACCGGGGGGTTGTAATGCATTGGAAACGTGAATAAATTGGTGTGAAACATGAGGAGATGAGACCAGATATGAGTAGATGGGATTAAAAAAAGCATGGTAGGAAAAGGGGCTGAGAGGAGTCAGAGTTTAGAGGAGAAGGGGCAATGAGGGAAGGAAGGATGATGGCAAAGCTGAGGGGAGGAGAGTGTTACAGTTGATTACATTGGGGGTTGGGGGGCAAATTGGCAAGGAGAGCAGGACTAGGGGAGCAGAGACAAGGCAAGAATTGAGACAGGGGAGACTTAAAAGGAGTTGTTAGGGGAAGAGGGTGAGGAGAGAGCTGGGGTGGAATACAGAGAAGGAAATGGGCTGGGTGAAAGGCGAGAGGGGTTCAGGAGAAAGAGAGACATAGTGGCAGGTGAGAGGGAAGGCAGCTTGAGGGGTGGGTAGAGAAATGAGAATAAACCAGGAGAAAGATGGAAACAAATGTAACAGATAGTGGGGCAGTCAGTGGGGAAAGTACCCACTGACTGTATAGAAGAGAGGGAGCATACAGGGAGAGCAGGTGCTGGCTTTTCAAATGATCCCCTAAGAAAGCTCTAACTGCCGCATGCTGGAGGCTAAGAGTAGAATACTCTCTCTATCAGTGCTGCTGTAGCTACTTCATGGTATATTGTCAAAGGGACCGCTGCGTAATGGTTGTTGCTGCACCAAGGAAAGAGAGGAGGAGAAGCCAAAAGAAGCTGCACACAGCCAACAGTTTAGTTTGCAGTGTCAGCTCATCAGCTCCTCTTTACCTGCCATTTCCTCTTCCCTAACTGCCATTTGCATTTTGATGGGGTTTTACAAAGGCTCTAAGACATCGTAAAACACATGTAAACACACATGCCAGATTAAATAAGATGTGGGGAAGGTTCTTTTGCTTGTTTCCGCCTCGAAAAGTGTTTACCTGAGGCTTAACCGAAGCCTTGTTTCGCTATTTCAATCTTTCCTGCCTACATAACATTTTGTCATTCTTTCTCGTCTGTATTGACTCATCATGTTTGAATGTGTGTTGGAACAGTGGCAGTGTTTTTGAAAGATTTCCAGTTATTAATTCCTTTCAGATCACAATCAATGTGTGAAATCCTCGTGTACAGTTAAGCATATCTTAACGGGCTGGACTTCAATGGGAAATGTTTGAACAATCATGACCTGATTTGCGCCACGACATTCACGCTCAAACTCAAATACTGACGGAGGATTGTATTGAGCTTAGAGCCTCAAACTTGGAAAATATGCCCAGAGAAGATTGCAGGCAGATTTTTTCACCAGCCAATCTAGAAATACATTTCAAACATGCTTGTGTGCAATTACTAGTTGACGTATAGTGGGCTGTAATGACTTGGGCCTTAATTCTTGAAATCATCGTGGTTACTTACATTGCTGTCACAGTGAGCTTGCCAACATGCGAGCAGTGTTCAGGGTTATAGCTCATATTCTGGATAAGCTCTTATTTGAGATTCACAGCTAATGCATCTCCATATCCTATCTATGAATACCACTATACATGGATAAACAGAATATTCTCACACTGCCATGGAAACAGAGTTTACACAGGCGGTCAAATACCTCAAGGAGACATTTTTAGGTTCAGTTATTTAATTTTTTCTCATGGCAAACAAGTGTTTTTCTCTTTTTTGTGTACATAATGATTCAAATGAAGCAATTATAAGACACACAACTTTAAACTGAGCAGTAATGTTTTTAAAACAGTGGCTCTAAGCATTGTGGGTGATGTTGCAGTAAGGTCGGATATACATTTGGGGAAAATAAAACAGTTTAACGTTTTTTTACAATATTTGCGATGTCCCACAATCCATGAAACTACTGTAATATGTATTATCAACAAGGCTGCAGAAAGTTACTGTGCCCAAGCAGAACAGTCTGGTACATAATCCCTTTTAAAAACGACAATATATTGTTTTTACCTTCAGTTGTTGTATGAATTAAACAAATGAAATGGTTGTTAAATTATTAAGTTTATAGGCGGTAGGTTGATTTAGTTGTATTTGGACTGCTGCCGGCCCAAACTACATATTTGCCGATGATAGAGTTGAATCTTTAGTCCAATCTAACTCATTGCGAGAAAGCCAATAAGCATATTTCTCAAAATGTAGAGCTATTCCTTTGAACAGCAGATGTCAGAATAGATAAGGTAAGGCCTGGATTGACCGACTCATATAACTGCGCAACCAGTTCTAAGGCAAGTCAAGGAAATGTCGACATTCCAGCTGAGAGGAAGGCCAGAGACTAATTTGACCCTGATTTCCAGTAGGAAAACAAGCTGTGAAAGCGGCGCTTCATGATCTTTCTGGTTTATTGGGATTAAATCTGAAGGTTACAGAAAACATACCAGAGGGACATGGGGCCAGAAAGTGTGAGAAAAACTGCTTTCAAACCTCCTGATCATTTTGAACTCTGAAGTCATACTGCTGTCCAATTACTCCGGTGGCTATAACTCAGATTAGCAAATCGTTCTCTTCTCCCTCCTAATTAAGTGCAGGAGAGGTGGGAGATTGATGGGAGAGGGCATGTGACAATGTGAAAAGTGAGGTTCCCTTAACACTTAACATGAGCTGAATATGCATTCATCTTTACAGTTTCTGGCAAGCAGAATGTTTGATACTGAGTTGAAGGAGGTTATTTATATTTTATAAAGCATGGAATAAAACTTGTTCATGTACATTATTAGAACATAATCTGGGACTGACTATGTTAATTAACTTGTATAATGGATTTCACAATCGTAAGCCCTGAGAGGCATAGCTTTGTGTCATGATCCCCCATCATTTCTGACTGGCTATGAAACACCTTTTAAAATGAACTTTGAACAATAAAGCTTTCTTTTGGAGGCCAGGTAAAATACCTTTCATTCTGTCAACATGAGATTGAATAATGGAGCTCGAGAGAAGTGTGAGTTATGGAGGAGTGTAAGTCTAATTGATTGATGTGTTCGTATGAGCGAGAGAGACGGAGCAGAACATAAAATGGAGCTCAATCTCAATGAGTTTCAGAAGGAGAAAGAAAATACAGTTTCGACGATGGAGTTCTGTACCCCAAATATAAGGTTTTTATTTAAAGAAATGTGATTATGCGGATGCAGTAATGACTAAATGTTTTGAGGAGTAAACAACGGAGTGATGTTGCCATGATGAAATGTGTAAAAGGATGGAAAGGCTATAAATAGACAGATAACATAAAAAGAAGATTGGAAGCCTGCAGGAAGTCAGATTAAAGAACAAAATGGAACATAGGAAGCTTTTAGGAAGACTTGCCCTTTATTCAACAAGAGGGGTCAATTAAGAACCCATTCTGTTTTGGGCTAAACTACAGAGAGAAGGGGGAGATAAGGACAGCAGGGAATAGAGGGGGAGGAAGGGTTGGTGAGCAGGAGAAGGAGGGGGAAAAGAAAAGGACAACATTATAAATGTTATTAGGGAGAGGATGTAGTAAGAAGTAAAGCAAGATGAACATATTTCATCAGGAAGCTGTAGGTGTTATGACTGTGATATGGCTGCATGCTGTTTTATAGTTGTAATGGCCAAAATATGTCATCATGATGTTCTCCACACAGCGACATGCTGTCCACTACAGTAGGGGTTTAAATGTCTACACAGTTAGAGTACGTCCGTGTGTGTGTGTGTGACGTGTGTGTGTGAATGTGTGTGGCAGCAGATGCTGGTTCAATAGCGCAATCCCACCTCACCAGGGAAGAGCGGGTGAGAGATGCTGCTGAGTTAGAGGGAGAGAGAGAGGTGAAGAAAAGGAGGAGGGATATTGCCAGGAGAAAGAGAGGAGAGAGCAGTGTGCTGAATGTCAAGCAGCATGGCATTAGACGCAGGCAGGCAGAGGGATATAACGTTGCTAAGCCAAACACAAGTCCTTTAAGTTTTCAAACTTAATGTCTGGGTTTGACAGTTTTATTATGTTATTTTTTTCTTATTGTTGCTTGTGCACATTAACATTTACAGTTTTGCTGATTTTGGACTGTGCTTTTCTAACACAGAATTGTTTTGGTTTGCTTTTGTAACAGCACCACTAATTTATGATGGCAATGTCTTTCAATAAAAAGCACATTTTAAAATGTAAACCTAAAGTCTACTATAAAATACTGGGAGGTACAGTACAGTAACCTCAAATTGTCAGGATCATTGGTGGGATCTATTTTTACCATATTTGTTATCAAATACATGGCTCCTGGATATACAGCAGTGTGCAGCAGCAATTATATGCTTTGTTTCTTACTAGTAACAAATCCAGAGAAAACGATAAGTCTTGGTTTCACCTGGTAGAGGTTAATGTATATCAACCTCTGACACATAACCCGTCATCTGCATTACTCATTTATTCTTTTGGCATCACCTTTTCCAAAGCGACTTACAAATGAGGTGCAATACAAGCCACAGTAGATCAAAGCAAAGCATTAATCACATCAAGTATTGTTTATGCTTCGCCTCAAATTCTACATTTTTAAATGATGTTGACTTGTTCATGTATGTAGCTCTATTTGTTATGTGGAGTTAAATGGACATTATATTCTGAAAGATTTGATTTGGGGGATGTTATTCATCTACAACTGCACAATAGGTAACATCAGTGATGTATGTCCCTAATTGACCTTAACAGTGAGGTGGAACAAACATGTGCCTCATTCAGTATGTGTATCTCAATCTTGGACAACCCTAAAAGTCTG